CATTTGTGTTTAATAAACCGTCTAGCTTAACAAGTCTTATTACCATGTTCGTCGACTCACGTTGCTCAGGCCCAGTTGCATGAAACTATACTTCTTATTTTCCATAGTTAGCCTACTAATCGGTGACTCCGAACTCTAAAGACAATTGTTTTCATAGTTAACACACTTATCTCTGACCGTAAAGATGTGGTGCTTAATTTTGTACTTTTATTAGTACTCTCGGTGGTATCAGTTGTTATGTTAACAAAATTTATAATTACTACTGAGTAATACCACAACTTGAGATTTGCACATCTAGAAATTTTGAGTTGAAAAACCCTGTTAAAATAAATGTTAATCGGAATTCCTGAAACACTTAGTTTGGATCCAGCAATTCCTCGGGATATGTATGCGCAATCGTGGACAAAGGCAATGGTCTCAAATTGCAATTTTATAGGATTTTGGCTGGCATTGATTGGCATTAATATGTCTAGTTCACCTCTAAAGGCAGATTTAATAGAAAACAATGTGTAGCTAATGTAACTTAACTTTGGTGGAACTAACACTCTACAAAAAATATCCATTTTAGAAAACATAAAAGAAGCTTTCGTAAGTTTGGTGTAACTAACACTCCACAATTTATTTATTGTTTGAAAATACACATTTTTACAAAGAATACTGTGAAGATTTCACCATCAAAAGAGTTGACAAAGGGTTCGTTCCACTTGCACAAACAACATGCAAAATTAAATGGTATGTCACTCTATTTCAGCAATGAGTCATATTGAGAATCTGTAGTACCATCTTAGCATATTTGTCATCTTTTTGAATAGCCATATTACTTAGATCTAATCTCGATGCACTACGTTATTATCCTTGGGTTTTTATCCATGTTCTCATAGATGCCAAAAGACGTTAGCTATCGATATGATAATTATATTAGAGACAGGTGCAGTCATTAATAAGGCAGTTTCTTTTTGCATTCCACAGCATCGAGTGAAGTCACAAAATATTTACACGGTAGATTATCCTTTTGTATTATAATTTACAAATAATGTTTACATGCTCTTGAAATTATGGGGTGATAAATAAAATTAAATTAGAATCGTGTGCCTACGGGAAGACATTCGTACCATGGGAGAAAAGAAACATCTCTCTCTCTCTCTCTCTCTCTCTCTCTCTATTTTTATTTACTTGGAATCAACATGAACTAGAGACAAACATTTGACGATTACTTTTTGTACTAATTATTGAGAAAATGGAAAAAAAACTACATGGATCTATTTTTTATACTAAGATATACAAGATGGTTTTATGTGAAATATCTAAATAACTTTATTAACAATATACATGAGAATCAGAAGCTCAAATAGAAATTGTACCTTTTATCTACCAGGACATCGTTGATCTTGGATATGAGCTATTGTAAACTCCCTGCTTCGGTGTCGGCATACCGTTTGCCACTAACTTCACTAAAAATAGTTCTCATGATATTCATCATGTCTGGATTTCTCGACACGGATAAGAAGGCCCGATATTTGAATTCTCCTTTTAGGTCTTGATACACTCGGTTTGCAAGAGTTGTCTTGCCCATCCCACCAGATCCTATGATAGAGACCAGCTTCGTTTTCTCTTTTGTTGACGCACCTTTAGTCAACAATTTAATTACCTCGGCCTTGGGTTCATCAATTCCAACAAGCTCAGAGGTGTGCTTGAAGATAGCAAGAGCTCTAGGATCAATGGTTGTATTTTTGGCCTTGGAGAAGACCTCACGGGCCTTGTACCTTTCATTCCTCTCGGCCACCTCTATGATTTGTTTCTTTAGATCATGGATCTCATTGCCGATGCGACGACGAGCCTTCATCTTCCCCAACTTCCCAAACGAGGTCTTCATCTTCTCCCAAACTCCATCTGGCTTTGTATCTTCGTTGCCGACACTCTGCATGAAGTCATCGATGGAGTCCTCCATGTCATAGGAGAGCTCTCGGACCTCATTCATCCACACCTTATCCTGAACATCAGGATCCTCCTCCTCCGACATATTCAGAAGAAACGCCTCCATGGCGGCGAGTTCATTAGAGAGCGATTTGATATCACCGTGCACGCCCTTGAAACGCTTGTACTCGTCACCCAAAAGGGTGGCCAGCTTCCCAAGGACGGGCTTCAAGGCACCCGTCGCCGCACTCACCAGAGCCACCTCCATGGTTGCGCTTGGTGCTAGCTTAGATGCTCGCTCAGTTATTTTTGTGTGTGTGGATGCGAAAGCAGTGTAGGCCGGATGATGCTACCCCTGTAGGCCGGATAATTAGTTGCATGATTGCATCGACCGGCCGTACTTAAACAATTAGGTTTACGGCAAGTCGCTCTAATAAATACAAGTAATCGATCCACTTGCTTAGCTAAGATATGCTGAACTTATGCCGCCCCACGTTGAACGATGCTCAGATGACATGGGCTGTACCAAGTTGGTCCAAGTCAATTGTTCATCCAGCTAGAGCTGTTGAAAGGCACACCCCTCCACGTTGCTGGCTCATGAAAAACTCTCTTGACCCGAAAGGCGTGGCTTCTTATTCGGGAATAAACGCTTAATCATGCCGCATCATTAGATGCCAACTGTCTTAATCAGCACTCGTACATTTGTGTTTAATAAACCCTCTAGCTTAACAAGTCTTATTATCATGTTCGTCGACTCATGTTGCTCGGACCCAGTTGCACGAAACTATACTTCTTATTTTCCATAGTTAGCCCACTAATCGGTGACTCCAAACTCCAAAGACAATTGTTTTCATAGTTAACGCATTTATCTCTGACCATAAAGATGTGGTGCTTATTTTTTGTACTTTTATTAGTACTTTCGGTGCTATCACTTGTTATGTTAACAAAATTTAAAATTACTACTGAGTAATACCACAACTTGAGATTTGCACATCTAGAAATTTTGACTTGAAAGAAAAACCCTGTTAAATCAAATGTTAATCAGAATTCCTGAAACTTAATTTGGATCCAGTAATTCCTCAGGATATGTATGCGCAGTTGTAGACAAAGTCAACGGTCTGAAATTAGAATTTTATAAGATTTTGGCCGGCGTTGATTGGCATTAATATGTCTAGTTCACCTCTGAAGGCAGATTTAATAGAAAACAATGTGTAGCTAATGTAACTTAACTTTGGTGAAACTAACACTCTACAAAAAATATCCGTTATAGAAAACATAAAAGAAGCTTTTGTAAGTTTGGTGTAACTAACACTCCACAATTTATTTATTTATTGAAAATACACATTTTTATGAAGAATATTATGAAGATTTCACCATCAAAAGAGTTGACATAGGGTTCGTCCCACTTGCACAAACAACATGCAAAACTAATTGTTATGTCACTATTTCAGCAACGAGTCATATTGATAATCTGTAGTACCATCTTAGCATATTCGGCATCTTTTCGAATAGCCATATTATTTAGATCTAATCTCGATGGAGAGAAGCACTATGTTATTATCCTTGGGTTGTTATCCATCTTCTCATAGATGCCAAAATACGTTAGCTATCGATATGATGATTATATTAGAGACAGGTGCAATCATTAATAAGGCAGTTTCTTTTTACATTCCACAACATCGAGTGAAGTCACAAAATATTTACACGGTAGACTATCCGTTTGTATTATAATTTACAAATAATGTTTACATGCTCATAGAGGCAAAGGTGTCCCGTCTTTCGATGAGATGGTGGCTATCGTTTTGGTGGAAGTCGACTTTGACGATCTGACTACGAACGTACAAGGACGTCGCGCCTTAGCAATCGCTAAACCAACTCCGAGAGGTTATTGTGTTGGAAATATGCCATAGAGGCAATAATAAAATGGTTATTATTATATTTCCTTCTTCATGATAATTGTCTATTGTTCATGCTATAATTGTATTAACTGGAAACCGTAATACATGTGTGAATACATAGACCACAACATGTCCCTAGTGAGCCTCTAGTTTGACTAGCTCGTTGATCAATAGATGGTTATGGTTTTCTGACCATGGACATTGGATGTCATTGATAACGGGATCACATCATTAGGAGAATGATGTGATGGACAAGACCCAATCTTAAGCATAACACAAGATCGTGTAGTTCGTTTCCTAAAAGCTTTTCTAATGTCGAGTATCATTTCCTTAGACCATGAGATTGTGCAACTCCCGGATACCGTAGGAATGCTTTGGGTGTGCCAAACGTCACAACGTAACTGGGTGGCTATAAAGGTGCACTACGGGTATCTCCAAAAGTGTCTGTTGGGTTGGCACGAATCGAGTCTGAGATTTGTCACTCCGTGTGATGGAGAGGTATCTCTGGGCCGACTCGGTAATGCATCATCATAATGAGCTCAATGTGACTAAGTAGTTAGTCACGGGATCATGCATTACGGAACGAGTAAAGTGACTTGCCGGTAACGAGATTGAACGAGGTATTGGGATACCGACGATCGAATCTCGGGCAAGTAACGTATCGATTGACAAAGGGAATTGTATACGGGATTCCTTGAATCCTTGACATCGTGGTTCATCCAATGAGATCATCGTGGAACATGTGGGAGCCAACATGGGTATCCAGATCCCACTGTTGGTTATTGACCAGAGAGCTGTCTCGGTCATGTCTGCATGATTCCCGTACCCGTAGGGTGTACACACTTAAGGTTCGATGACGCTAGAGTTGTTATGGGAATTAGTGTGCAGTTACCGAATGTTGTTCGGAGTCCCGGATGAGATCCCGGACGTCACGAGGAGTTCCGAAATGGTCCGGATGTAAAGATTTATATATGGGAAGTCCTATCTTGGCCACCGGAAAATGTTCAGGATTTTTCGGTATTGTACCGGGAAGGTTCTAGAAGGTTCCGGAGTGGGGCCCACCTGCATGGGGGGACCCACATGAACGTGGGTAGTGGGGGCAAGGCCCCACACCCCTGTTCAAGGCGCACCAAGATCCCCCCTTAGAAGGAATAAGATCATATCCCGAAGGGATAAGATCAAGATCCCTAAAAAGGGGGATAACAATCGGTGGGGAAGGAAATGATGGGATTTCTTTCCTCCCACCTTTGCCAACGCCCCAATGGACTTGGAGGGCAAGAAACCAGCCCCCTCCACCCCTATATATAGTGGGGAGGCGCATCGGAGCTTCACCCTGCCCCTGGCGCAGCCCTCCCCCTCTCCAACTCCACCTCCTCCTCAGTAGTGCTTGGCGAAGCCCTGCCGGAGAACTGCAAGCTCCACCACCACGCCGTCGTGCTGCCGGAGCTTTCCCTCAACTTCTCCTCTCCCCTTGCTGGATCAAGAAGTAGGAGACGTCCCCGGGATGTACATGTGTTGAACGCGGAGGCGCCGTTCGTTCGGCGCTAGATCGGATCTTCCATGATTTGAATCGCCGCGAGTACGACTCCATCAACCGCGTTCTTGTAACGCTTCCGCTTAGCGATCTTCAAGGGTATGAAGATGCTCATCCTCTCCCTCTATTGTTGCTAGAATCTCCATAGATTGATCTTGGTGATGCGTAGAAAATTTTCAATTTCTGCTACGTTCCCCAACAGTGGCATCATGAGCTAGGTCTATTGCATAGATTCTATGCACGAGTAGAACACAAGTGGTTATGGGCGTTGGTTTGTTCAATTTTCTTACTGTTACTAGACCTATCTTGATTCGGCAGCATCGTGGGATGAAGCGACCCGGACCGACCTTACACGTACGCTTACGTGAGACAGGTTCCACCGAATGACATGCACTTGTTGCATAAAGGTGGCTAGCGGGTGCCAGTCTTTCCCACTTTAGTCGGATCGGATTCGATGAAAAGGGTCCTTATGAAGGGTAAATAGCAATTGGCATATCACCGTTGTGGCTTTTGCGTAGGTAAGAAACATTCTTGCTAGAAACCCATAGCAGCCACGTAGAACATGCAACAATAATTAGAGGACGTCTAACTTGTTTTTGCAGGGTATGCTATGTGATGTGATATGGCCAAAAGAATGTGATGAATGATATATGTGATGTATGAGATTGATCATGTTCTTATAATAGGAATCATGACTTGCATGTCGATGAGTATGACAACCGACAGGAGCCATAGCAGTTGTCTTAATTTATTGTATGACCTGCGTGTCATTGAAAACGCCATATAATTACTTTACTTTATTGCTAAACCGTTAGCCATAGTAGTAGAAGTAATAGTTGGCGAGACAACTTCATGAAGACACGATGATGGAGATCATGATGATGGAGATCATGGTGTCATGCCGGTGACGAAGGTGATCATGTCGTGCCTCAAGATGGAGATCAAAGGCGCAAGATGATATTGGCCATATCATGTCACCTTATGATTTGCATGTGATGTTTGTCATGTTTACATCTTATTTGCTTAGAACGACGGTAGCATAAATAAGATGACCCCCCATTAAAAATTCAAGGAAGTGTTCCCCATAACTATGCACCGTTGCGAAAGTTCGTTGTTTCGAAGCACCACGTGATGATCGGGTGTGATAGATTCTAACGTTCACATACAACGGGTGTAAGCCAGATTTACACACGCAAAACACTTAGGTTGACTTGACGAGCCTAGCATGTACAGACATGGCCTCGGAACACAAGAGACCAAAGGTCGAACATGAGTCGTATAGTAGATACGATCAACATGGAGATGTTCACCGATGATGACTAGTCCGTCTCACGTGATGACCAGACACGGCCTAGTTGACTCAGATCATGTATCACTTAGATGACTAGAGGGATGTCTATTTGAGTGGGAGTTCATTAGATGAACTTAATTATCATGAACATAGTCAAAAGGACTTTGCAAATTATGTCATATCTTGCACTTTAGTTCTACTGTTTAAGATATGTTCCTAGAGAAAATTTTAGTTGAAAGTTGATAGTAGAAATTATGCGGACTGAGCCCATATCCTGAGGATTTTCCTCATTGCTGCACAGAGGGCTTATGTCCTTAATGCACCGCCCGGTGTGCTGAACCTCGAGCGTCGTTTATGGATGTTGCGAACATTTTACATACACGTTTTGATGACTACGTGATAGTTCAGTGCGTAATGTTAAACGGTTTAGAATTGAGGTAGCGAAGACATTTTTTGAAACATCGCAGAACATATGAGATGTTCCAAGAGCTGAAATTAGGATTTCAGGCCCGTGCCCACGTCAAGAGGTATGACACCTCCGACAA